CAATACCTACAATAAGTACTATGCAAGTAGAATTACTACATACTGTACTAATTAGCAAAATCATACTTCCTTCGTTCTTTTTTACTTGACCAACTTTGACTTTTGCACTATTAATCACCTCTCCTTTGACCGTGTTTTGTGAAAATAATGTAAGCAAAAACATATTCATATTGGATCTTTTTGAATTCGTCTAAATAAGTACTATCATAATATATAACTTTCATATTTTTTTTTACTTATGTAGAATTAAAGTTATTGATCGTTAAAGTTTTGCATTGGCAAGCGTGATAAAAGAAACAGGTCAAGTAAAAAAGAAAAGAAGAAGTACATAATAGCTAGAAACTCAAATCAGACTCTCATATTTATCCCAAATTCTCAGAAAAAAGGCAGGTGAACGTTAATTATTGTAAGACGGGTTAAAGTTAACTTAAAAGTATATAAGTTATCCTATATATCACAAAAGTTATTTTTTTTTAGTAATAAATTTTATCTTATAAAAAACTTATCTGATATATAAAGCTAAACTTTTAGCAAGCGCACAAGAAACGACACTTGACATTCCAATTTTTCACCAAGTGTCGCGCCACATAAGCAAATTATCATATTATACTTTGTCACCTTTCACGCTAGATAAGCAAATTTAAGATAGATTTTTTTAGGATAAAAAAAGTTATTTAGAGTTTTATTTATGATAGGATTTCTAAATTCCATAGGAATAAAATAGGTTGTAACTTTCAAGAAATATCTTATAAATAATATTCGATAAAATTTTAGTAGGTCACAATATATCTGTTCAGGAAAAAAAAAAATATTAGAGTTTCATTGTCTATCAAATCAAATAATAATTGGTATGAATAAAAATTCCTAACCAATCATCTTTTAAAAAAAATACTTATAATAGTCAATCGTCTTATAGTGTAATGAAAAGAAAAAGATGATGAGGTGATTTGTGAGGTTTAACAAAAATGAACCGTATCAAGAAACAAAAATTGACAAAGGGAAACAATTTTATTACTACTCCATGGTTGGGGATCAAACTTGGGTCACCTAAATGACAGGTCCGAATACTTACCAGTTACCACTATACTACAACGGCCTTGATGAAGCTGTTAAAGATTTCAATACAATTGTTTGTGTATGGAAGTTCAATGGTTCTTAAATGAAAATTGAGAACTTAGTGTATAGTTGACTTTTTTGGTGGTATTAGTTTTTTTACCAACCAATTTTCACGAAAATCATGCAAGAAATAAGTAACACCACTATTAGCAAATCTGAGGTTAAGAATGTCTTCTTTTAAAAGATTATGCTAAAGTCTGTACAAACTATATTACGAACTTAAAAAACATTAAGCAAGTTTATATGTCACGAGGGATCATATAACAATAATATTTCATATGTACAAATTAAATTAAAACTTTCAATAAAAATATATTTTATAAGTCTGCTATAGAGTATTTTTATGTAATGAAAATTGTTTTAAAAGATAATTAAAAATGAGATCCATTTAAGATTATTTAAATCAACTAATAATAAAAGGTTCTCAACCTTATATGATTGCTATTTTGTACTAATTTTTTTTTTTTTTGTTTTTTGTAAAGACATTGTAAATATTTTGTATTATTAAATTAAATCAAGATTCGCAAAAGTATGAAGACTTAGGGGGAAATGAGTCATACATAAAATATTTCAAATTTATATCAATCCCTCATTTAGCTACCATATGTTATAGTCGTATTACCCGCCTATCAAACATGAGTACAATTAAAGACATTAGAATCACAACTCATACTAGAAATATCATTCAATTACATGAAATAGGTTCAGCTCCAAATTGATTTTTTCGAATTGCTTTGACTATGCTACTTGCGTCATTTTCAAGAACTAATAGATAGCTCAAGGTCTTTTTCAAAATCACCCACAACTTTATGAGCGGTAAAACTATATTTTTGTTTTACAAGTATGTTGTCAAGTGATTATTAATCCATGAGTAGAAAATTTGAATAACATAAATATTTTTCTTATATATAATGTATATTTCTATAATACATATTGCACACTTACAAAAATAAATGGTATCCTACGTCAAATTATATTAAATCAAAAGGGATATATACCTCTTACAACAGTGTTTATCTTAATGATATGTTTTAAAATTTGGGATACAAATAAAAAGTTTAATCTTAAAATTGAATAAATTACCCGGGCATCGCACGGGCACAAAGCTAGTAATGTATTAGATTAATCATATTAGCCTTTATAGTACTTAATCATGATTCTATAAGACAGTATGCATTAAAATAAAAATTCAAACCAACGACAAATTAAAAGTTAACCTTTAGAGGATGCCTGGATTACAAGTAATCATTAGGGGGTAGATATTCATGCACTAACTATTCAAGGGGAGGAGATGTGGTGGACAAAGTTTTCAGGAGCTAATATATATCAGGTTTGGGAGTTTTAATGGGTTTATAAATTCCAGCCCATTAAGAGCACTCCCAATGATGATAAAAAAATATGCTCATGGGTATTTTGGGTGGGCAAAAAATATACTCATGCATTACAATGGTGATCAAATGAAGAAATGCAAAAATATGCTCATGAGCATTTCTAAAAATGCCCAAGACTTGGGCAAATTTGAGGATGAATAGTGCTCTGGTGGGCCTCACAATTTGCAATGGTTATATTTTTTGTAATGCAAATTGTGAAATAAATATTTATTAAAAAAAAATTAAAATTACCAACGGTCATAAAATTTAATTCTCTATAAATAGACATGCATTTTGGTATATTTTGGTATTTTCAGAAATACCATAAATCCTCCATATTCTTTATTTTAACGATAAAAACGACACAAATAAAAAAAAATAAGTTACACAAATTTAGACTAGTTTTTATTTATTTGGAGTAATATTGTTAAAATATAAATGAAATTAATAAATAAAGAAGTGTTGTGTAGGAGAGAGAAAGTAATGGTGGGGTATTGAAAAAGTAAGAGAGAGAGAGTAGTGGACAATCATATTTTTTGCTCACCATTGGGAGAGAAATTGTGAAAAAAAATTTGCCCATGGGCATAGATTTGTTGAGAGAGAAAGTGGGTGGACATTTTTTTTGCTCACCATTGAGAGTGGTCTTACCAAGTTTGGCTATATTCCCCTACTATATATTCAAGGCAACTTACGTAATATTTGTAATAACATACTCTTTTCCTTTTTTTTTTTTTTTTTTTTTTTTTTTTTTTTTTTTTTTAATGTTGAAAGGAAAGCCCTTTTTCCATTTTATTTTTCTAACGTTTCTTTTATGAGATTTTTTTTCCCAATATGTAAAATTATTTTAGAAAATAAACATTAAAAAGCTAAGAAAATAAATTCATAATTAGTACTTAAGTACCTTGAAATAGTCAAATAGACAATTAGCTAAAAAGTAGCATCAACATTATTAGTACATATGTCAAAATTAACAAATTTTTAGGCTCAAGCTTGATGTATCAGCAACATTGACTCCTAAAGACCACCCTTCTCTAAAATCATAGTTAGAAAATATATTTCTTGTCATCATCCACCAAGTCTCGAAATATCACAATATCATCTTCAGTCATCTTAACACACAAAGAGAGAGCATTAGCCGTAGAAATACTAGGAACTTTTCCTAATTCTTCATGCAATCCAACCATGATATTTTTTGGCCCTTCGAGAATAATCACCAACTTATTAATCTGAGCATTGCTATTCTCCAACATCTTTCCCATCATCGACTCCAAATTTTTTTTGAACATTTTGAATTTCTTTGTTGGTTGTTCACAACTTTTTCTTAGTTGGCTTCTTGGATGAACCCTCATCTATAGTGCTCTTACTAGACCCTTCAGTCAACACATCATCATCGTGGTTTGTAGACGATACTTCAGCAGACTTTTTTTGATGATGTGGCATCATATTGGGTGATGTCTTGGACATTCACTTGATCATCTCTATCAAGAGGCATTGCAGCTTTCACTCTAGTTGCTCTATATTTTGCAAATTCTTCCTCAAGATCGTCAAACTTTCACTCTAGTTGCTCTATCTTTTGCAAATACTTCAATTCCTCAAGATCGTCAAACAATGGGAATGGTTTTCGATACAAGCCCTTTGCTTCTTTGTGAGACTGTAAATTTATGGTAGAAAACAGAACAAAAATAAACTCAAAGTTAGAATGTTATTATTAAGTTAGAAGATAAACCAAACACAGTCAAAGCATCTTCAGGCAGGGGGTGCAGGGGATAGGAGAGGGGCTGTGCTGGAAAGGGGTGCAGGTTCAGGGAATGCGTGCAGGTGCAGGGAGGTGGAGGGCAGCTTTAGGCTTATAAAATACTCAATTAACATCAACCAACAGAACATTATTTCAAAAAACAAAACATTATTTGTAAAACAAGAAAATTTACCTTAGCCCATCCTTCAAACAAAGTACGATCACCCGAGACCATTTTCAAAGTGTCATCCCAGCCGAAACCACTACCTTTATGCTTGATATCCAACAATGCATTAAACCTTTTCTTCAAATAAGATAGCCTTGAATCAATGTTTGATGCTTTTAATCCTGCTTCAGGCATCTTCTCTCCAAATAGCTTCTCTAAATGATTTAAGTAACCACTTTTAAAGCCACCTTCGCCTTTCCATTTCCCATCGGAGTTCATCTCAACCAAAAACTGACCAACAACTCATCTTCTTCACTAATCCATCTCCTCGGAGAAATCCTATCACTCATTTTTATAAAACTAAAAATGCAAAGAAATAAAATACTTAAGCAAGTAGGCAATATATATAGTCATAGAACAAATTATATTATCAAGCATTAGGGGTTCATAAATTAGATACATTAAAGCTTCATTTGATTAATAGTACAAAATATAGTCAAATATTAAAAAATAAATAAAAAAACAAAATAACATAAATTTGTCACAAAAATCATTTAATTTATCCTCTATGAAGTTCCCAATTATCAAACATTTGATGAGCAAGGTTATCTCTCTAAATAGTCCACGCATTAGAAGTCTCAAGGACATTGAAATAATCGTCATCACCGTCATCCATGAATTGTCTTCCGAATTCGGTATCTAATAACAGCTCAAGTGGATCAAAGCGCATTTCTCTACGAATGAGGTTATGGAGAAGACAACAAGCGCTTATAATATCAGCATGTGTTTCAATGCCATAAAAACTACAATTTCTAAGTATTGCCCAACACATTTTGAGTAACCAAAACATCTCTCAATTACGTCTAGCACATGAGTGTTTCATGTTGAAGTACTCTTCCGGAGTAGTAGGTTGATAACCCTCCTTCCACTCTTTAAGATGATACCTTTGACCTCTATATGGGGCAAGAAAACCTTCTTCATTTGTGTAACCAGCATCAACCAAATAACAGGTTCCTAAAATATGGTCAAAAGTTTGACACAAATCAATTATATTAAATCGAGCTTAAGTTAAACTCAAAAAGTAATATCCTCACCACGAGGGACTTTAATAGCGCCCCACCACTTCTGGTTGTTTTTTAATTTTTTTTTTTTTAAAAACAAAACCTTGCCACCGTGAGCCGTCCTTCCCTCCGCCGCTGTGGCCGCCAAGTTCTTACCTTGCCGCCTCGACATTGCCGTATTTTTGGGTGATTAGAGTGTGGGTATGGGTTAGATTTTTTTTAGGTCTAGGGCAATAAGGTAAATTCAATATAGATTTGTGGGCTTTATGTGGAGATTTGCGGGCGATGTTTAGCAATTCTGATTTTTTAACCTGTAAAATATAACGTTGAGGGGGGGGGGCGGTGGGGGTGGGGGGAGGAGAATAATGTTTTACCCCTGTTTTGGGAGGAATAAATTACGGGCCTAAATTACTACCCTCAATCCAGGTATACCAAAAGGTCCATAATAATTAACCCAGAAAGTATTATGGGCTATTACCCTCAATCCAGGTGGGCCCTTAAAGGGTTAAAGTTACCATAACAATAGTTAAATTTACCCTTAAACTGACCGTTTTATAATAAAATTAACGTACACGCACTTGCCTTACACAAGACTTATTATTGCATATTTTTATGGAATTTTTGTTTTTTTAGTACATATTATTGAAGTCTTATCAAACATGCACCTCTTTTCAACTGTATAATCCCAAGGGTAATCCAGTGTAGAAACATGACTTAATTCGGAGATTGTGTTATTGAAGTCTTAGTAGATATGCATCTCCTACCAACCATATAATCCCATATGTGTAATTAAGGCTAGTATCGTGACTTTACAATTAAGGGTTGCTTGGTCCTTTAAATTGAAATAGATTTTTATTAAATCTCATATTAGAAAGGTATGGATACTAATCTTATATAAGGTCGTTTAATTTATATATGTTGACATGGTTTCTACATCAATGAATGGACTTAATTGTGAATCTTAGGAGATGAGATGATTATGAAATTTTAGAAATTAAGATGTGGTAGAGTTTGAACCCTTTTGGTTTGAGGTTTCATGTCTAAAAAGTTTAACCAAATAATACAATGGATATGATGGATACAAACTCGTCATCCCAACCTATGATGAGAAGATCTAACCAAATGTTCCACCAACATCTCCTTGCATCGATAAATATATAAGTAGAGGTTGTAGACACGTGATTGTGTCTCCCCAAAACTCAAATCTGGTGATGAGTACCTTTCACATCTTTGTTAATGAGTTCTGTAAAGTGTTGAAGAGTCTCACAAAGTTTCCTTAAGCCTTGCCATATTTCTAACCACACCAAAAGTGTTTTAATCCAAAATCATTCATTTCGTGTCTTTAAATCCAAAATCATTCATTTCGTGTCCTTAAACCCAAATTAAAATCATTCATTTCGTGTCTTTAAATCATTATTTTCGTGCCTTAACCTTTTAAAAATGTCCAATATGATTTTTCTCGGTCGATTATCCCAGTCCAATTATTTTTTTAGCTGATTTGAAAATAGGAAAAGAGACCTCTATTTTTCTAGGTCTACCTTAGCTACGACCCAATGATTATGAGGGTCAAAATATTTTCCTAATCCTAAATCAGTTAGGAACTCCTAGAATCCTGTAGAAGGTTCTAATTTATCCTTCCCGAAAAGATAAAGATCAAAGAGTTCGAGATTGAATAAAACTTCTCCTTTGATAATCCTCAACCTATTCAAATTCAAAGACGTTTGGAAATATTGTACGATCCTAATTCCATTAGAAATGAAACTCCGTAAGAAGTCTTTTATCTTTTAGAACCAGTGCGCTAAGCCAGAACCAACACATGGCGATAGCCCCAACGCGGCGCGTCAGACCTAGCGCGACGCGTCAGAGTCAGTTTTACTTCCATTCAAATTTTGATCTTTTTCTGATCGTTCGAATCTCTTTTTTCCCTATAAATAGAGGTCTCTTTTCCTATTTTCAAATCAGCTACAACGCTCATAAACCAAATTAGCAACAATGCCCATCAACCATTATCCACAACAATCACCAATATCCCTCATCAATCATCAATAATTCTATTAAGAATTTTAATTCCTAATCCTATGTTCTCGAGCCTAAACAAATCATCCTAACACACATCCTTGATATATCTAAACACTAAACACCATACCTCCTTCGCGAGATTTGAATACTCCAAACCATACTCGATATTGTCTTCGACCTCGACGTAAAAAGGTTGATATTTTTGAGGGTTTGGAACTCAAATATATATTTATATTCATTTTTAATTTAGTTTATTATTTACTTTATTGATTTTCTTGAAGTTACTAACGTGTGTATTGATTTTATAGCAAGAAGGTCAAAGCATCAAAGTAAGTAATCTAATTTCTCTTTTGATTTTGAATAGAAAGCATGTTTAGGATTATTGATTTTGATTACTAGTATTATGCTTTGAATAATATATTGATCTTTAATTACTAGTATCATGCATGTTTAGGATGATTTAATTGATTTTGTTATTAGTAACATGTTAGGATTTATTATTAGTCCGTTTAGTATCATGCCTAGGATCTTACTACTAACAATGATTTGATTATGATAATGATTGTTATACTAATCATAAGTTTCTTGATTATTCATGATTTCATTGCTATTGCTTGATCACACCCTTTCCTGCAAGTTTAAAGGGGATTTGTACTTCAAATCACGCCTAATAAGATAATTAATAATTTGATTTAGACTTAATATGATTTTAATTCAAGTGATCACCAATATTAGATTTGATTGTACATTAATAATAACCAACGTAGATTAAACAGGTTTAGGGCTAACCTAATTTATGTATGTTGATTGAAAAGCGTGCATGAATATTTAAGAATTAAGTAGAGGCCTATTTTAGGGCAGGGGTTTGGCTTCTCTTAGGTCAAATTCGTACTATCATCCCCGAACATCCAGCCATAGTTTCAGACCACTATGGAGTTAGCAATCACTGTAATTGTGAATGGGGTGTAACCTTGACACTCATAAACGGTTTACAAGTTCCTAAAACTTGTTGGTGATTCTTTTCTTTAGCTTCTTTTCTTTGAAACTCCACTATGCATAATAGCATGACCCACATTAGGGCTCAAAGATTAAGTTTGAAAAATTCCCTACAGTTTTTGGCGACTCAACTGGGGAGGATCTCTAAATTGATTCCCAATTTGTTTGGCAATTGATTAGAGTAAAAGGATGAGACTTGAAATATTCTTGATATTTATGTGCGTAATTTTGATTAACATTGTTGCATAAGCATAAAAACATAGGAAACACACATAGGAAAGGTTGGAAATATTTTTCACAACTAAAGTAGAAAAGACATTGCGAAAAATCGGAAAAAAATACTTAAAATAGAAACTGCTGTAGAGAGTTAGAACCATCGCATGGCATTAGTGACTAACGCCACGGGAAAACACTGTCGCATCGCGACAATGCTGTCGCCGGACGTTGGACCCTGCTGTCATGCGATACAATCTGGCGATTTTGCGCCAGCTTTCTGTTTGCGTGTTTCGCCTGATTCTAGTACGGTCTCGATGATTTTACTTCTAGATTAAGTTTTATCGACCTTTTTGAACCCATATGTGTTTTACATATGGTTTTAGCCCTTGGGAATTCACGCTTCGTCCACCCTAATAAATGCTCCGTGCAATAGTGGGTGCATCTGAGTTTGTTGTATTCACCAAACCATGGAGTTAAGTTTAACTCGCGGGTCTCACCCATCGTGCCAACCCTTCTAAGGTAAGGTTTTCGCGTGATGCATCCGGATTCTTAACCATGAACCCTCTTGGACACCATAATCATTGACTTTAGAGAACTAGAGCCATGGTTAGGTGGCAAACTGATTGCATCATTGTAAACACCTGATTGTGTCTCCCCAAAAACCAAACCTAGTGATGAGTACCTTTTACGTCTTTGATTTATCGAGTTAGGTGAAGAGTTGAAGAGTCTCGTGAATTTCCTTTAGCCTTAACCATTCCTAACCTTTCCTAAAATGTTTTAAACCCAAAATCATTCATTTCGTGTCCTCTTTATAAAAGCGTCAAAACCAATATATTTTGGTCCATATTCTCGGTCAAATTGTGTAGTTGGGTGGGGTTTGGAATGAGCTTTTCAATGATATATTATAAGCCCAAATCCAACTTAAAACGATAAGTTATGGCCAAAATACTAAACCAAGCCCAAACTGACCTAGGTCCACCTTACTTACAACCCAATGATCATGTGGAGGGTCCAATACCTTAATCCCAATCCTAAACCAATTAGGATTCATTAGAAACTTCTAGAAGTCTCTAGAAGGTTCTAATCTATCCTTTTTGAAAGATAAAAATCAAAGAATTTGAAATTGAATAAAACTCCTCTTTTTGAAAGTCCTTGTTCTATTCGAATTCAAAGATGTTTAGATATGATTTTTGTGCCTCATAATTTTTTTCAAAATGTTATATGGTTGGATAGCCCTTGAAATTATATTTCTTTCGATATATCATAATCCCAATTCCGAGCTATAACGAAAAAGATATGAACGAAATACCAAACTCTATCCAAAACTGACGCTATCCCACTATTTCGTTCATATCTTTTATTCTACAAAATATTTTAATCTTATTCTAATTGTTTTGGAAAGTATACTTCTAGTTCTTTCCAACAATATATTAACAATATATTATTTATCTTATTCTGATTTTTGGATCAAAGTTATGATAAAACCAAAACCGCAAAAAACTGCGGTCTATCGCGCTGCGATATTTCCAGCGCGCCGCGATACTCCTATTGCGCCGCGATGAATCCTTTTTTATTCCGAATCAAATTCTGACTCTTTTCTGATATTTTGACCTTATTTTTTCTTATAAATAGAGGTCGTTTCACCCATTTTTCAATCATCAACAAGCTTGATCACCAACAATCATCATCTCTTTCCCTCTCTAAGCTAAAGTTTATTCTTTCCCTCTCTCTCTTGATTTCTAGTATTAGCCTAAACACATCCTTGATCCTTCCTAAGCAAACACCATACGTCCTTTGCGAGATTTGAATACTCCAAGCCCTTCTCAAAGTTGCCTTCGACCTCGACGTGAAAGGTTGATAGTTTTGAGGGTTTAGTCCCAAATCTATATTTCAATAATTATTTGATTTATTTCTTTCTTGAAGTTACTAACATGTGTATTG